TGTGTGTGTGTGTGTGTGTGTGTGTGTGTGTGTGTGTGTGTGTGTGTCAGAGGACAACACTCAGGAGTCAGTTCTCTCCTTCTGCTATTTAGGTTGCAGGGACTGAGCTCAGGTCATCAGACTTGGCAGCAAGCACCTTTACCCACTCAGTTATCACAGTGGCCCCAGGCTGTTTTTGAGCTCACCCCCAAGGGCTAACATAGACATGCACTACTAACCCAGCTTCCAAATATTTTTTTAAGCTAATAATCACTGAGATTTTACCAGATACCTGGCTATTACCAAAGGCTTCACACATTAACAAATGGCCTTGAGTGCCCTAGTACAGGGTCTTTCGACATTACCCCCAAGTGACCTTACTTCAGATTCCAAGAGGCCATAGGATCTGTCTGGTGGTGCAGAGTCTGAGGTCCTCCCAGAACATGGACCAGTGAGTCCATCCCTTATGTTCCTACAGACACCTGCCTGTCCTATAGACACCTGCCCTGCTGTGGGGCAATTTGAATTTCACAATTCAAAGCCAGGTGGAAAGTTCCCTAATCAGAGTTCCATTTTCAGCTCTCTCCTCCGGGAGCCAGTGAGTCGAGCTGCCTCTGCAGTTTAATGAGGTTTACCAGGACCAGGCTTATCTACTGAGGCAGAAAAGCCATAAACACCCAGGCAGTGTGATAAGCCAGAACTCTGGCCAGAAAACGTTTGGAAAAACCCAGAGAATGTTCTGTCCTTGAGTGATGAGCGGTGTCTAGTCCTAGGCCTGCAAGCCTTGCGTAGGCCAGGGGAGAGGCAGGAAGAGGTTAATTCTTTCTGCACGGTCTTCTGCTGCAGCCTCTGCAGCCGCAAGGGTGAAACCCCAGCTTCCCCTTCTCTTTAAGCCTTTTCTGTTCTCTGAGAAAGGTCCCCTAGGTGATGCTGGGGGTTGATACTTGTCTAAACTTAACAGTCTTTTAAGGAGAACAGACCTGGGCCTCAGGCAGACAACATAAGATTGTTTCCACTGCACTCAGCCTCTAGCCTCAGCAATACAAAGTCTCCTTTCAAAGTAAATGTATTTCAATTAGAAAGTATTTGTCTTCCTCCAGGGAAGCCACTAAGACAGAATGCAGGAGACTGAGTAGCTTATAAACAACAAAATTTCCTCACAGTTTTCAAAGCTGGGAGTGCAAGATCTAGCCATCACTGGTTTAATGTCTAAAGTGTGTTTCTTTCTGGAACAAGGCGCTGCCTTTCCATAGTGTCCTCCCAATATGGGAGGCTGAAAACACCCTTGGGATTTTTGTAAAGGCACTAACTCCCTTCAGGAGGGTGCCACTCACATAACCAAATCACCTTCCAGAGACCTGGGAGAGGCTACAAACAGGATCCAAATAGTATCAGGTAGAGAGCTCAGCAAGATGCATTGTAAGAAGTAAATTTTGCAATTGTGTGTTGTTAAACCTACTTCCTGCTCTAAGCTCCCCTTTTTGTTCTTTCCTCATATATCTTATAAGCTTCTGAGTTCTTGCCCACCTCACTGTTTTACAGCGCTGTTAATTTATTCAAGTAAAAATTTATTGATTGGAGTGAGCCATTGGGGGAGGTGAGAGGGGAGGGTGAGGGAGTGGGCAGAGGTGTCTCAAGATCAGTCTCCAGACATCAGTGCCTACATGCAGGCATGCTCCTTTGGCTTTCCTGCCAGAGTTACTGCCAGGCATGTTCATTACTTTCCCTGTTGCTGCCATAAAACACCCTGACAAAAGCAACTTGAGAGAGAAAGGCTCACGTTTACCGGGTTCACAGTTTAAAGTGTCAGTCCATCATATCGGGGAAGGAGTGGTGGCAGAACAGCAAAATGGCTAGTCACACTGCGCCCAGTCAAGCATAATGTGATGAATGCTGGGGCTTGGCTCATTCTGTCATCTCCCTATCTGTCACCTATCTATCTGTCATCTATCTTGGAAACAGGGGGCCTCATTGTATAGCCCTGGATGGCCTAGAACTCAAGATGGTGCCCCCAACTAACCTAATCAATAAAAGCCCACAAAGACAACCCTAAAGGCTGGTTCCCACATGATTCTAAGTACTATCAAGTTGACAGTCAGTATAAACCTTGACAATGGGACTAGCAATAACAAATTGAAAGTTCCCTGCACACAGTAGATGTTCAATAAATGCACATTATCATAAATGAGAAGAGGGTGGTTCTAAGCAAAATTGCAGAGTCCACGGCCTGTCTTGGCATAAAGAAGACTTGAATGTTCCCTAATTTCTTAGAGTCATCCTTTGTTTGTTTGTTTGTTTGTTTGTTTGTTTGTTGGTGGAGAGGTGAGGAGGCTCCCATGTAGCCCAGGCTGGCCTCAAGTCACTATGTAGTCCAAACTGAATTCCTGATTTTTCTGCCTCCCCCTGCCAAGTGCCGGGATTACAGGTGTGTGCCAGCACACCCAGATGCATCTCCTGTTTTCCATCTGCATCAGCAGCCTGGCCATGCCTGACACCATAGGGCAGGGTGAGGAAGGATTACCAGGGTCAAGCCAGGCACCTAACTCATGCTCAGGAAGTGGGAATTGGAATGAATTGCAATACCACTCTTTCTGTTTTGTTTGTTACAGAGTCTTGCTGTGTACCTCAAGCTGACTTACAACTCAGTCCAGGCTGGCATCAAAATCACATTTTTCCTCCTCAACCTCTTACTAGTACATCTGCCTGGCTTTTTAAAAATCATCATCATGTTTACTTATTTATTTAGAATATGTGTTAGTGTATGTTTTCATGTACACATGCATGTACCCTGCTGTGCATATGGAGATCAGAGGACAACTGTGGGAGTCAGTTCTCTCCTTTCACCATAAGTCCCAGGAATTAAACTCAGATCATCAGGCTTGTGGCAAATACCTTTACCTGCTGATCTAGCTAGCTGACATGGGTGTGCATGTGTGTGTGTGTGTTTATATGTTGTGTGTGTTAGAAATGTATAGGTAAAGCCTAAGATCCTATGAACATTTTCTAAGGCTACTGAGTCAGATCAAGCTATATTTTACATGCTTTCAACCATTCAGCAGAACAGCAGGCATCCAATGTTCCTTTGGGGAGGAATTATCAGTAACAGTGTCATTTAGTACACTTTTCTTAGGTTCAGTTTTGGGTTGTTCTTGGCTGTCCTGTAGACCAGGCTGACCTCAAACTCGCAGAGATCCACCTGTCTCTGCCTTCCAGAATGCTGGGGTTAAAGGGGTGCACCACTCCCGCCACCCCTTTCCTGGCTGTGTTTCTTTTTCGTATCTTGTCACACTGACTGAAATCTAGTGCCAAAGTAAGCAACAGTAGTGACAGTCTTTTCACTGTTGAGCAGGAGTTTGGCATTGAGCTTTTCATCTTCCTATCTCCTTCATTCCCTCCCTCTCATTCTTTCTTTCTTTCTTCCTCCCTCCCTCCCTTCCCTTTCTGTTCTGAAACAGGGTCTCATGTAGCTAGACTGAAACTTTCTACATAGTCCAAGATGACCTTGAACTTCTAACCCTTCTTCCTCTATCTCTGGACTACTGGGTGCAGGTGTGTACCACCAAGCCCAGTTTATCCGGTGCTGGGGTTTGAACGCAGGGCCTCCTGCCTATAAGCACTCTACCAACCCCAGCTACACTGCTGTCCTACGGAGGTTTTGCTCAAACGTCCTTTAACAAGTTGAGGTGCCTTTTAATTCTTAGCTCTTTGGTTGCTTTTGGTTTTGGATTTTGCTTTGGGGTTATATTTTTCTTTGTTTTCTATTGTTATTGTGTGTATGTGCACACAGTATGAGCACCATAGTATGTGTGTGGAAGTCACAGGACAACTTTTTGGAGTCAGATCCTGCCTTGCACCTTTATGTGGATTCTAGGGATGTAACTTAGGCTCTCAGCACTTTGTCTGGTGAGCCATCTCGCCAGCCCTCCTTATTTGTTCTGTGTTGGTTTGAGACAGATCTCATGTAGCCCAGGCTCACCTCTAACTTACTATAGAAAAAAATGACCTTGAACTCCTAGGTTCCAGGTCTGGGCTCCCACCTCCAACTTCAATACTTAGCTTGTTGAGTGTTTTTATCATGAAGTCACATTGCATTATGCCAAATGTTTTTCTTTTTTCTGTATTTATTGAGGTGACCCAGAAGGATCCATTATTACTGGTATCTTCTACCAAGCTATTCGGTGCACACTTGAGCGTATCTACTTTCCATCTGCCCCCTTTCCACTTGGTAGAATCACTCCACTGATTCTAACAGCATAAGTGACCCTATCTAACCCTTTTCTCCAGCTGCATGGTGACATGCAAAGAGATCATTGTGTGCTGGACTCAGTTTGTATATCAGCATACCTGGTATGCTGTTGATGTGTGTAAGATGCTTTCAAATACAGAGATGTTGAGTGTTGCCATTAAGGCCCTGTAGATAGGATAATGTCACAGGAGTTGCTGAGTCTCGGAGTATCCTGAGCCTAGTCATGGAAATCAGGAATGTTGCTTTTCCTCTGGGAAGTAAGTGCTTTGAGGCCCTGGAACATGCATGTGTACATGAAGGCAGTATGCAGCATGTGGCATGGTGGTCACTTTGCCAGCGGTGCTCCCTGGTCCTTGAAGAAACGTTCATTGGGCTCCATGTCAGCTGGACACTGGGAAATGAGGCAGGGCCACATGCAGTCCATTACATTGGCCTGTTCATACTGGCATTGTCCTTGCATTCTCCTCCTAATGTGTCTCTGGTCCAGCAGGTCTCAAACCTGAACAAACATCCAAGCGACACCAGGGAACCTGGAGCTGTCCAGGCTGCACTGAGAGAGACTTCTAGTCAGAGATCAGAGCCTTTGATATATACAAAGAGTTTCAGAGATGGAAAGGAATGGACGGGCAGAGAACTGGTGCAGCTGGAAATCCAGGTGCAGTAGCACTCCCTAACCTTGCTGTACCCTCCTCTCCCCAGGTTACAACCATCCGGCTCTGACGAAGCTTGTCCAACAGCCTCAGAATGCGGTAGGTCTCCCTGATGTTCCAAATAAGGGCAGAGCTCATGGCCAGATTCGCTGGGCATCTTTAGGCATGCTTCATTTGCAGCACTCACCTGTTTGCTGAGCTTGTGCCCTGATCAGGCACTCGGATGCCTTGGAGAGGTACTGGTTACTTTTCCTCAGTGTGATGTAGAGTCACCTGAGAAACAGCAAACCCCAGGAGAGGAAATGCCTCCATCTGATTGTCCTGTGGGTGTGTCTATGAGACATTTTCTTGATTACTGACAGATGTGAGAGGGCCCAGTTCTCTGTGGGCAGAGGCACCCCTGGGCAGTGTTCCTAGGTTGTTTAAGAAAGCAAGCTGAGAGGCTGAGGGGCTGGAGAGATGGCTCAGATGTTAAGAGCACTGGCTGTTCTTCCAAAGGTCCTGAGTTCAAGTCCTAACAACCACATGGTGGCTCACTAACCATCTATAATGAGAGCTTGTACCCCTTCTGGCCTGCAGACATACATGCAGGCAAAAAACTGAAAATATATAGATAAATTTTTAAAAAGAGAAGAAGAAAGAAGGATGAGGGGCTAGAGAGATGGTTTAATAATTAAGAGGACTTGTCGTTCTTGCAGAGGACCTGGCTCGGGCTTCCAACACCCACATGGCAGCTCACAAGCAACTATAACTACAGTGCTAGGGTATTCAGTACCTCTCCTGACCTCCTCAGGCTCCTGTATGCATGTGGTACACATAAATACACTTGGGCACACACATAAAATAAAACAATTTTGTTGCAAAAAAAGAACCTGAGCAACATGCCAGTGAGCCGTGGTTCCTCCATGGTTTCTGTTTCACTTCCTGCGTCCAGGTTCCTGCCCTGAGCTCCTGCACTGGCTTCCCTCAGTAATGGACTGTACCCTGGAAGCCAAACAAGCCTTCCTTGTCCACAGATGTTTAGTCATGGTATTTATCACAGTGACAGAACATAACTGGGACAATGAGAAAAACTCCCATGGAGACAGTCACTTAACCTCATACATCAGTTGAGAATTGTAACCACATTTAGGCTAGAGTCAAGGGCACAGTGCTGTGTAGGCATAAGACAATGATGATGGTTAACATATATGAACAATGTAGTATGTGACAAATACTATGTTCAGCTCCTTAAGATTTTTATTTTTATTTGCATGTCTGAATGTGCACTATATGCACGCAGTACTTGCATGCAGAAGAGGCATCAGATCTCCAGGAATAGGAGTTACAGGCTGCTGTGTGAAGCCTGATACGGATGCTGGGAACCAAACCCAGGTCTTTTGCAAGAGCAGCAAATGCTCTTAACCTTGAGACAGCTCTACAGTCCCTCTTTTAAATGTACTACTATCAAACTTTAATACATGTATATGTTGTATGTTGAGCCCATCCTCCGCCCCAATAGCCATCTGTATGGACTATACTTAATGACTGCGGTGTGTCCATCCAACCCTGAATGATGACATGGAGACATGTCTATTTGTAATAGCTTTAGGCCTTAGCTTTCTGTTGTTCCCAACTAGTTCCCAATCTTATAACCTATATTTAATCTATGTTCTGCCACACGGTTCTTTACCTCTCCTTAGTTTCTCACAGTCCAGCTTCTTCCATGCCTTATAGGTGAATCTCTTCACACCTCTTTCTCTCTCAGAATTCCTGTTTCTCCAAAAGTCCTGCCTATTTTCTCCTGCCTTTGCTATAGGCCTTTCAGCTCTTTAGTCAACCAATCAGAAGGTGATGGAGAACAATGTTTACAAAACATTGAGACAGGTGATGATTAGCAATACCCAAGTCCAGTCTGTACTCAGCTCTCCGCTGGTACAGAAACCAGCATTTTAATATTCAAGGACAACCTTTACACAGCTCACAGAACACCACTCCAGTGGGGAAGGGAGTTTAAAGAGACATGAAGGAGGAGAAGCTATGGGGTGACAAGCCAGTGAAAGCGAGGCATGCTTGAGGGAAAAAGACATGAGCAGAGTCAGCACTGGGCAGGATTCGAGTAGGACCAGAGCAGCAATACAGTTCACATCACCTTTGTCCTAGGTTGGTTCCTGTGGCTGTGAAAAACACAAACAAACAGAAAACCCCGGCATGGAGGAGGAGAGTGTTTATTTGGCTTAAAATTACCATCCATCACTAACAGAGTCAGGGTAAAACATGGAGGCAGGAACTGAAGCAATGCTGCTTACTAGCTTGCTCCTCGTAGCTTGCTCAACCCAGGACCACCAGCCCAGGGATGTCCCGCCCCTGTCCCATCAAGCATTAATCATGGAAATGTCCCATAGACATGCCCACAGGCCAGTGTGACAGAGGCAATGCCTCAACTGGGGCTCCCCCTTCTCAGAGAAGTATAGGTGTGTGTCAAGCTGACAGAAACCACCCAGTTCAACCTTCAGTCGGTTGTCTCAGTCTTAGTATTGATGGTGTTTAGGTCCAGGTCATGTTGTCCGGGCCTCCTGTCATGGCAAAACATGTCTTAGAAATGCCTGCATTTTCTCTGGTGGGTACAGTGACCTTGCTTGAGAAGTCCCATGGTAGAAGAGCTATCCTGGGCATGGTGGGAAGCCATGACCCTGAGGTTCAACACACGAGGAGACCTGTGTCTACCCTCAGTGTCCCTTCTTGGTGTACTCTGTGAATCTGTCGAAGAAGCCTATTGCTGCCCTTGTTTGTCCTTTTAAGGATCATTTTTAGATGTCATTTTCCAGAGGGTGAGGAATGTCACTCAGTTGTCAAAGTGCCCAGTATGCAGGAGCCTGGAGTTCTATCCACACCACTTAATGAAAGTGGAGGTGGTGGTGAATATCAATAATTCCAACACTCAAGAAATGGAAGCAGGAGGATCAGACTCCAGGGGCACCCTCATTTCTATAAGGAATTTGAGACCAGAATGGGCTACGTGAGGTCCTGTATGAAAATGAAATAATAATAATAGAAATTTCACTTTCCTATTGGTTCTGCCACCATGCACTTTTGATACTGTTACATGTTCATTTTCAATTACTATGCTAACAGAAGGCCACAGATTTGGTTTAAAATAATATCTAAGAACTTCCTATAATCCAAGCACTCTGGAGGCTGAGGCAAGAGAGGATCAGGAGTTCAGGTTCAGCCTCACCTTTGAAGCCAGCCTGGGATATACGAGACCCTGTCTCAACTACAAACTCAGAGCAGTACCTGTACATGGCCTCTGCTTCAGGCCAAGGGTCTGTTGAGCCCAGCTATGGACTCTGCTCCTAGGGCCAGGCCTCCCAGCCTTCCACCTGGAGGCTCATTCAGGCTTTTGGCAGATTCCTTTCCTCTTGGTCTCCTTGCAGCTTCCGTCACCACCTGCAGAAGTAGTTTTGTCCTCTTCTTCTGCTCCTGTAGTCTGACTGGGCCCAGAGGGAAAAACAGAACCATCTCCCAAGCAAGCCCATTAGGAGCCTTCATGACAACTTCTGGTGACAGGCATAGTCCTGAGGGTAGCAGGAATATCTGGAGATCTGGCATCCCGTGGTTGCTCCTGCAGTTTCAGATATGCTGAACAGGTACCACAACAAGTCTGTGCTATACAGCAGGATGTGATATGCTTCACCCTGCATTGAGAACGAAAGAATAGGGACAGGGATCAGACCAGGTCCAAAAGAGACAGACCCTGGCCCTTTCTCCTAAAAGACCCCTGTGTCTGTCCTCTTCCCTGCCCCATGAATGGAATCGTTTCTCATGTACTCCTTATCCTGTCTGATTATTTTTCTCAAAAGATCATGTAGCCATCCATCCTCATTCATCCTCTTGTGGGCAGGAGACCATCCATTCCAGTGGTTTCCTGCAGTTACTTGTGTGAATATACTATGGCCAGCTTGTGTTCCTCCTGAGGAGAGTTCTACTTTGGGACTCCCGGGAAGATGGCTGCTTAGATGATGGCGCCTGTGTCCTTTGTGGGGTCTACCTGTGTCTCTCGCTGATACAGAGCTAGCAACAGAGCTGTGACCATGGTGGGTGTTCATGTTCTACTTCTTCAGATCCTGCCAGTTGGCAAACTTACTGACTTGATTTCCTTTCCCACCAGCATCAGGGTGAGGCAGGGTCTCCATCGCTCCATGTCCTATCAACACTTAGTGAATGTGAGGTTTTTGTGTGACTCAGAGGAGGACACCTTGTCTATGCATGATGGGAAGCTTGATCCCTGAAGGAAACCAGGGGTCCAAAAAAGCCCAGACCTAGTCAAGAACTGAACTGCACTCTTGCCTGTGCTGGTGGGGTAGAACACTCTTGGTAGAGTTCACCTGGCATGCACAAAGCCCTAGGTTTAATCGCAAGCACTGCATACACTGTGTGTGGATGTGAATGACGCTAATTCCAGCCCTCGGGAGGTAGATGCCATGCTACAGAAGTTCCAGGCCATCATAAACTATATGACAAGTTCAAGGCTAGCCTAGGCTACAAAAGACCCTGTTCCAAAAAAGATTTTAAATCCTTTTAAACCCAGAATTGAAGCTTTTCTGAAAGAGGCATGATCAGTGGGCATGAGAGGACCTGCCTGTCCAGGAGTAACAAGAGGACAGTCTGAGCAGGTACCAAGGGGATCCTGAGGAAGTGGCCAATGAAGCCAGAGGCTCAGGGGGTGTGTTTACAATCAAAGCTGCTTTGTTTCAAAACTTGTGGGGATCCCAGATGCCTTGGCAGCTGGTGCTGAAAGAATGTGTCAACAAACATGTCACACATATCTGCAGTGTCAGCTGCCTGTGGAGGCAGTCTTCCCAACAGAGTGGGGCATGAAGACCCAAGGGTTCTGATCCTTGCAATGACGTCCTCCTGTTCTCCCAGGAACCTTCCTTGCTTCCCCACATACCTGCCACATCTTACCCAGGCAAGAGCTGGTCCTCACCTTCACCTCCACACTGGGAGACATGGTCCAGTTGCTATGGTACCCCTGTCTTCCATCTAGCTTTTCAAAGCTGGAATTACAGATGATCCACCAAGCCCACCAAGTGTTTACTTGGGTTTTGGTCCTCATGCTCACCCAACAAGAATTTTACCCACTGAGTCATCTCCCCCAGACCACACCTGGCTTCTTCTCCAACCCTCCTGGGTCACACTGATACCACCGTGAAAGTCCATCCTGGTGATTTCATGTCACTGCAGAAATAGGTACCTTGAATCTATCTGGGCTCCAGTGCTAGGGCCATCTCATAATCTCCCCTACACTGTGCACTGTGGTTGGACGTACATGGACGTGGTCACACTGCCATGAGTAACAGCTGCAGTCTGATCTCCCCACACCTGGGATGGATGGCACACAGCGAAACATGTAAAACACTCAGCAGTCTGTGACTTCCTGGCCATTCTACTGTTCCTCAAGCCTGAGCTCTGCTCTTTCCCTATGCCTTCTCTTCTCAAGGCTCTCTATCAGTACCTGGCAAGAGGCACCCGCGTTGGCAGATGAAGACCCTGAACTTCAGAGCTGTTAAGTGATTTGCCTAAGGCTACACAGCCAAAGCTAGCTCTCCCTTTTCTGAACTTTAAGGCGGGCAAGCCTTCTGGAAACCCGTCCTCATTTGATTCTGCGGCCATGTGTCCCAGATATCTTCTGTTCTTAATGTCACGCTTTATCGAGCAAGAACACCACCCCCACATCTTTTCTGAGCCCAGATAGGCAACCAGGCTGCCAGCTTGCCTGTCTCTCTCTGGAGGCCTTTTCCCTGCAGCCCATGGCAGCAGTTTGCACCCACCCTGTTCTCATCATGTCCCTGATTCCTCACAGGCCTCATGAGCAAGTCAGAGCCTGGAGGAAATGCTTTTTAAGGCCCTGACAACAGAGCAAGGTCTCCGGTTGTGTCGAGCCAATGTGCATTAGCTAATGCTAATGCTAACCCAGCATTAGCAATTCTGAGCAGAGGTGCTGGAGTGCCTATCCCAGAATGCCATCAGAAGCCAGCAAACCCACAATGGAGGCATGTCTGTGTGTCTTGGAATAAGTTTCCTGACCTCTCTGGTCCTCAGCAGTGAAGAAAAGTTCATTTCATACTTCTCATCCTTCCTGCCCCCTCTGTGTCTCATAGGCCCACCAAGGAAGGGGTAACAAAGCAGGAAAAGCAATAGATGTTTGAATCTGCGTCTCCCTCCATTTCTACCAGTCCAAGCCACATCCTAAAGGCACCAGGAGCCAGGGTCTCCCTGTCCCGAGTCTCCCACAGCAAAGCAATGGCACTGTTCAGATTTGACCTTATTATCTGATCAGAGGGATGAGTCTGAGACATCCCCACATCCCAGTGAATCTCTACTTGCTTGTTTTGGTTTGTTTGTTTTTGAGACAGGGTCTCCTATGATCTAGACTGGTCTCAGCCTCCCTGCGTAGCTAAGGACAGCCTTGAGTTTCTGAGCATTCTGCCTCCACTTCCCATATGCTTGTAATTGCTGCCATGAGCCACCCTACTAGGTTTCTACAGTTCTGGAGGTAGAACCCAGGGCTTTGTGCATAGTAGATGAGCATTCTACCAGCAGAGAGATATCCTCAGACTAGGCTGGCCTTGAACTTGATAGGAAGCTATGCCACACCCTGCCCGATCCCTACTTTTTATAATAAATGTTCTTAATCATAGCAAGAGAATACTTTTTGATTTTCAGACAAACTGCAAAGGTAGTTCCTGTGTCCTCTCTCTAGCTGCCCCTGAAGCTAAGGCCATTTGCCAAACGATGCATGCAAGTAAACACTGATCAGAGCCAAGCCATCAATTTTCCCAGTATTTTCCTTTTGTGGTGTGTCCTAGAATCCAAGCCAAGGTGCCAAGCTGCATTTAGTGTGATCTCTTTCATAACTCAGGCCCACTTCCGCAGTCCCTGCTGGTGTGTGTCAGGGGTGAATCCCCAGGACAGCTCTGCTCTTAGCCCACCGGCAGGTGTGTTTGGTTGTGAGCATGAGGGCCAACTCCAGCACCAAGACGAGGAAGGGACTGCAGCTCCCAGTCAACCTCCAGCTGCTTCCTCAACTTCCCATTCTGAGAGCCCAGAGTGCCTTGTTTTGTCTTGAAAACTGGATCTATTCTGAATCTTCTGGCTTTGTACAGTATGCCACTAACCCTACCCAATACCCTAACTCAGCGGTTCTCAACCTTCCCAATGCTGTTACCCTCTAATGCAGCCTCTCTTGTTGTAGTGACCCCCAACCATACAATTATTTTTGCTGCTACTTCATAACTCTAAGTGTGCTACTTTTATGACTCCTAACGTAACTATCTGTCTTAGGCAACCTACAGGTTGAGAACCACTGCTCATCTTAAGGATGTGGAAAGGCCCTGCCCAGTGACTTCCAGGGAGGAGGTGGCCAGATGCTCCATGCTTCCTCCCTGGCCTCACTGTTGCATGCTCTCTGGGATCATGCCCTACTGATGGGTGGGGCAAGGAGGGAGGCCACAGTTACGAAGTCACCATCACCTAGTTCCCCTGTGAACAAAGATGGGCACAACTTCTCTCTGTTTTAAAGATAAAGTCGTTGAGGCTTTAAGTTATTTACCCTTAATAGCTTTAGCTTTGTTTTGCTTGGGGATATTTCAGACAGGGTCTCATGTAGTCTCAATTTGTAGGTGAGAATGACCTTGAATTTTTGATCCCCCTGCCTCCATCTCCCCAGTTCTGGGGTTACATATGTGTGCCAGCACACCTGACCTATTCACTGTAGAGGATGGAACCCAGAGCTTCCTACACAGTAGGCAAAAGCTCGACCTCCTGACCTTTGGTCCAGCCCCTGAAGGTATGTTAATAAGATTTTACTCTTAAAGGCACTTGCCTAGCTTAGGACCTTGCACTTCTATCCCTCAGGCAGAGGCCATTTGAAGCTAAAATTTTATTAGAACTAGAAAGTCAATGCACATTTCCCTTTCCTTTGGAAATGTGTTTGTGCCATCTTCCTTACCCCTGTGGTCCAGCTCAGCAGAGACAGAGCAGGAGAGAGCAGGACAGGATGGGACAGGGAGGAACAGACTCATCTTTGGACAAACAGGTTGATCTCAGTCCTTACCGGAGCCCCTCATTTCTCAGATGTGAGAGCAAACATCAGTTCAGCACTAACTCACACTGTCGATTTTTTTACAGAGGGAATTAATTCTCTTGGACCCATGTCTATCAGAATGGGGCAGTAGGAGAGGGGAATAGATTGACACAAAGATGCCGCAAAGATGCTTGTGGTGCTCTGGCTTTTAGCCAGCTTCACCAATACACCTCCATTCTATTTAGAAGTTCCACAACTGTAGTGTGTGTGTGTGTGTGTGTGTGTGTGTGTGTGTGTGTGTGCGCCCATGCTCAGGGGTGCATGTGCTATAGTACACAAAGTGTGGAGGCCAGAGGGCAATCTCAGGTGTTAGTCTTGTCTTGCTTGAGACATAAACTCTTGTTCCCTCCCCGATGAGCACTCCAGGCTGGCTGGCCCAAGCTTCCTCGGATTCTGCCATCTCTGCTTCTCATCCTGACATGGGGACACTGGGGTTACAGACACTCACTACCACATCCAACTCTACGTTAGTTCTGGGGATCAGAACTCAGGTCCTCACACTTATGCGGTACTTTACCCACCAAGCCAGCTCTCCAGTCCCTGCCTTTTAGTGCCTTTAAAAATAATTAAAGTGTATTAGTGAATTCCAGCTAGTGCTATGTGAAACTTTGTCTCCCTAAAATACCAATGAGCCTACAGTGCCACAAAGAGCCTATTTGACCTCTCAACCATATAAAGGTGCCATGCGGAAGAAGACCTGGGCGGGAGCCCAAGAGCTGACACATTTGCCTGCTGTCCTTTCCAGAGCACGTTCATCAACAGACCTGCCCTGGGCATCCTGCCTCCAGAGAACTTTGTGGATAAGCTCCGAGAGTCCCTTATGTCGGTAAGTTTGAGGGATGAGCCCTTCCATGTTTGTAGTCCCACCTCCACCTTTCGGCCTGTCTGTGTGTCCTCAGCAGTGGCCCTGGCACGAGCTGGAAAGAATGAAATCCATAGCCAGGAAGGATGAGTGGGTAGGTGGCAGCAGCTTCAGTAACTGTCTGGCCATATATAATGCCAGTACTCGGGGAGGCAGAGGCAGGCAGATCTCTGTGAGTTTGAGGCCAGCATGGTCTACAAAGCGAGTCCAGGACAGCCAGGGCTACACAGTGAAACCCTGTCTCAAAAAACAAAAAAGAAAGAAAGAAAGAAAGAAAGAAAGAAAGAAAGAAAGAAAGAAAGAAAGAAAGAAAGAAAGAAAAAGAAAAGAGTCCATGTCAGAGACAGTCCCTGTTCCCCTTACTAGGTAATGCACATTGAAATTGAACTGCCATGGGCTACGTCTGAGCAGGGGGGTCTAGGTCCTTTCCATGAGTGGTCTGGATAAGAGGGAGGGAGGGTGGGACTGGGGGAAGATGAGGGATAGGGATACAGCTAGGCTACAAAGTGAATAAATTGTAATAAATAATACATTTTTAAAAAGAAGACACAGACTAAATGAGCAACTTTTTACTTGGTTGAAAGAACCAAGTAAATAGAGAGAGAGAGAGAGAGAGAGAGAGAGAGAGTAAAAAGGGTCTCATGTAGCCCACAATGGCCTCAAATGAATGGCCTATGTAGCCCAGGCTTGTCTCAAATTCAGTATGGGGATAGCCTTGAATGGATCTTCTTGAATCTATTCTTATTGCAGGCGTGTACCACCACACCCATTTTTGTACAGGGCTGGGAATCTGAACCCACAGCTTGTGCGGACTAGGCAAGTGCTCTACCATATCTCTAGCCCTCAAGAAGATTTTCAGTTTTTCTTTTGAAGAAAAGAAGGGGTTGTGTGTGTTGAATAAAGGGCATCCTGGGGAAATTTGTACGTGTCCTATGATGAGCACTTGGCATGAGGGATTTGGTCCTCCATGGACTCTTCTTCAGTTCTTCTTGCCGAAAGAACTAAAGTCATTGAGAACCCTAGCTTACCATCTTGGAAGTCTGGGAGACCCAGAGAGGACTGCTATTTTCACACACACACACACACACACACACACACACACACACACACACACACCCCTTCTCTTTTAATTGAGACACAGTCTCACCGTGTGGTTCCAGCTAGTACTGCGATGGACAGGCGTACACAGCCACACTGGGCTGGGCTCTGCCAGAGCGTCTCTTGCCTTCTTTCCTCTATCCTGATCTCAACAATCTTCCTGGGCTCCTTCTGTCCACCCTGGAAAAGTCTGAGCTCACCCTTCTAACTTGCTTTTCCTGGCGTGCCCCTCCTTCCCTCCCTCAACCTTCTACCAATGCTGGGTGATTCAGCTCCAGGAACAGAAATGGTGTCCATGTTATTCATAGAGGCCTCTCTCTGCAGGTGGCACCCAAAGGCATGTCCCAGCTCATCACCATGGCCTGTGGCTCCTGCTCCAATGAGAACGCATTCAAGACCATCTTCATGTGGTACCGGGTGAGCTTTGGGGCAGGAACACCCACACTGACTCAGCACCACACTGACACACACCCCCAGGATGTTCAACTTGGATATAATCTAGAGAGAGCTTGACTGGAGCTTTCCCAACATCCAAGTGTGAGGTGGCACAAAGGGCTGAGGCTCTGTGTCAATGCAGTTATGTTACTGGAGCTAGTAGGATAGAGCCTAACAAGCCAGGCTTAGCCACCTGTCCTCCAGAGGCCAATTAAAGCAGCAAATTAATAGTTAAAAGGAAAAAAATCAATTTATTCAATGTGGCCACCTTGGGAAGAGGGCCAAATAAAGAGATCTAGTCACACTCCAAGTCTGTCTTCCAGGTCCAGACATGAGACTTAGGTTTAAGTAGAAGGGCAGAGAACTAAATAAGGAAGCAGTCCTGATCAGGGCCTGGACCCACTCACCCCACCCCCACGGCTGCTATTGTCTTAGCTCCAGTCTCTCCTGGAAGGTTCTGATAGTTTATAAATCCTTCTCAAGGAGACAAGAGCCCCCTCTTTTGTCCCAAGGAGACAATTGCCTCTTGGGCTTCAGCCTTTTTTTCTCACAACCTGAGACCCTAGGGGGAATTTCAGTTTCTTGGGGGTCAATTGTTTCAGTAGCCTGATAGCCAAAGCTCTTCATTCCTGCCACAAGGGGTACAGTCGTGTTTTTTTCCTGCCGTAAGTCGGCCCATCTCAACAAACCCTGGTTACTGCTGACAAAATATTAATAGATCAGAAAGCAACACTTGCATCTATTTCATTGCAAGCTCAGTTAGTGCCTTGTATGTATCTAGACATGTCATGCTAGAACATTAAGTTAGCTCTTAAAAAAACACTCTAGTTGTCTGGATTAAGCATCACCTTGGTAGGGGAGGGATGCCTCTTTGACCCCAGCATGTCTCTGTTCTGTTTTGGCAGAGTAAGGAACGAGGTCAGAGAGGTTTCTCAAAAGAGGAGCTGGAGACCTGCATGATTAACCAGGTAGGTGCAGAGCTGGAGAGATGGCTCAGCAAAGGTGCCTAGTTCCAAGCCTGGCAGCCTGAGTTCAATCCTGGGAACACACACACACACACACACACATAGGAATCCACATGTACACAACACATAATGTAATTATCTTGTAGATGTAGATGGGCCTGCTGCCTCACCCATTTGGGGACCTGCCTAGCCCCCTCATGCTGCCACTAATTGAGTGACCCCCATCCTTCTGAATTAGGATGAGTACCCAACCTTTGCCACCTGGAGTTTATTTCCTGATACAAGGGCTGAGTCTGTTTCTAATTAGCTATTAGTTTTCCAGAACAACTTCCTGAGTCTGGCAGTCTACAGAAACCATGAATGTCTGCTCCAGTCTAGAACAATCCAAACCGTCCACACAAATGTCTACACTAGGGCTGGAGAGATGGCTCAGAGGTTAAGAGCACTGGCGGCTCTTCCAGTGGTCCTGAGTTCAATTCCCAGCAACCACATGGTGGCTCACAAACATCTATAATGAGATCTGGTGCCCTCTTCTGGCTTGCAGGTGTAAATGGAGACAGAATATTGTGTACATAATAAATAAATAAATCTTTTTTTTTAATGTCTACACTAGTGTTTATACCATTGGTGTTTATAGTAATTACAACCAGTAAGGGTTGGATATCACCTATTCTGACCCATAATGCAGAAAGATCACTTAACTGTAGGGCTCCTGAGCTGAGAAAGCATGCTACAGATGGGGTTCATCTTGATGTCCAAGGGCAGCTTGGTCTATCAACAGTTTTAGACCTCATTTCTCAGATTTAGTAGCTCCATCAAAGTGTACCTACTAATGTGTGTCTGTTGCCATTTTGTTGTGTTGCTGTATTTTGTTTTATGGGACAGTTCTCAGGTAGCCCTGGCTGACCTGAAGCCTGAAGGCTTCAGATTTGCAGAGATCCCTCTGTATCTGCCTTTTGAGTGTCGTGGGATTACAACCGAGGGCCACCATCCTGGCTTGATTTATCTGTTACCTTTACAATCAGGAGGCAAACAGGAAATAGTGATGAGAGTATTCTAGGATGTGTGGGAGGTGGTCATGGAGCTTTTCTCAGGGAGAATGCTGCAGGGACCTCCAACCTCCAGAGCCAGGACTGAGGCATCTGAGGAGGCTGAAATCAGAGCCTATTAGGGTTCGCTTAGTGGATAGAGGGTAAAAAAAGCAAACAACTATGGTGCACACCTTTAACCCCAGCACCCGGGAAGCAGAGGCAGGTGGATCTCTGTGAGTTCGAGGCCAGCCTGACCTGCAAAACAAGTCTAGGACAGCCAGGGCTCTTACATACAGAAACCCTGTCAAAAAAAGAAAAAGAGAGAGAGAGAGAGAGAAAGAAAAAAAGAACTTAAACAGTGAGGTTGGAGATATAGCCACTCCCATGGAACCCAGGCTCAGTTCCCAGCACCCATCTATAACTCCAGTCCCAGGGAATTCGATTTCTTCTTCTGGCCTTGACAACAAGCCCCAAGGCAGTACACAGACAGGCAGACAAAACAAATAAGATTTTTAAAAAGAAAGTGAACAGTGGCCACCTCCTCATCTGCTTGGACCTGTGAAAGGCCTAAAAATGTATGCACTGGGTTCTTGAGCCTCTGGAACCCCTGGGGTTCCTCCTTCCCCGTGTGCCCTGGCCAACCTCTTCAGACACCTAGGTCATTTCTGGTACCTGTGCATTTCCAGTGAAAGCCACGTCTCAGCTCCTGGCTTAGAACAGCCTCACAGCACGAGGCTGTGGAAGCCAGGGCAGCCTGGGGCATGGGCAGGCTGGAGGAGCAGAGACGCCCCTTAAAACTAGGACATAAATCCACAGCCAGCCAGCAGGTGACTGGCGGTGCACACTGCCCCTGGCTGCTGCCAAGGAGAAAAAAATGTCACCCGGCCAGACCATTTGGAAAGCCAGAAGCTCAGACATTGATGTATAACTTGTTTGTTTTAAATCTGTAACTTTTAAACCTTCGGTAGAAAAGTGCAAACGAGACACCTGCAGTGTGGGTATAGACAGCTAAGATCTATACACAGCCGCACCCCTGCCCTGTCCGCACCCCAAGAAGAACCTCGGCTCTGATGGACACTGGCTTCCTCTGGGTCTACTGAGTAACATACAGCCCCCAGTGCTCATAATGGTGACTGGTACCTGCACTTTTTTTATTCCAGAGTCCTGGATGCCCAGACTACAGCATCCTTTCCTTCATGGGTGCTTTCCACGGGAGGACCATGGGTAAGGAGGGGCCAGTATGGTCCCAGAATGCTGCCTGTCACCACAGATGCTAATGAGCAGAGACAGAAGTTGAATCTTTAGGCTGCCTTGTATCTAGAAATAATATGTTAGTCTGAGAGGAAAAAGGGCGTGTGTGTGTGTGTGTGCACGCAGGTGTCCATTCCTCACTCCTATCCAGTCAGCATGTTTTACAAGGAGTAAGAACAAAGGTATCAGTCATTCCGAAGTTCAGTGTTGTCCTCTGATCAGGGTCAGCCTCCTCTCTGAGATTTTGGTATTTGCACACACACCCTTATCACCTCCTGAACTTTTCCCTCCTTATCTCTCCCTGGGCAACAGCATTCATATTTCTCAAGCCTACTGAGCCTTACAATCCTTCCATGCACCACCTAGGCCGAAGGTTAACTCAGAACAAACAAACTGTTGGCAGTGTACATAGTGGGCTATTGCAATGTGAACACTTAGAGCAACTGAAATGGCTCAGTGCATAATGGTTCTTGTCCCCAAACTTGCTGTCCTGAATTTGATCCCCAGAACCAACATGGTGGATGGACACTCCCATTAGTTGTTCACATGCATACTGGCACACTAACTCACAAAGATAGATAGATAGATAGATAGATAGATAGATAGATAGATAGATAGA